AATGACTTCCTATTATTTATTAGTAGCATTTTGGTAACACTCAGAGGTTTCAATCAGGAATACATTCCCACTTAGAGTTGCCACGTTTCCAATGGCTAGTAACTGGGACCCAAAATCCCGTCCCCTGCTCAACATCTTCCCTTCAATCTACCCTGCCTTGGCTCTGACTTTTCCCTCATGGCCCCACTCCTGTTCTGCAGCCTTCACCCCAGATTAAAAAAAAAAAAGGATATCAAGGCCTGTTAAATGGCACCTAGAGTATGAAATGGTAGTTGTTGCCCTCAAAGGATGCATCTAGACTACATTGCTCCGTCGACGGAGCCATGTAAAGTAGTTTACTCGACAGTCAATGAAGCGGGGATTTAAATAATCCCCGCTTCAACAAAATAAAAAAGGCCACCATGCTGTTCCAACAATCAGCTGATCCGGCACAGCGTGGCAGTCTAGATGCGGCGCAGTCGACAAGGGAAGCCATTTATTTAAATCCCCGCTTCATTGACTATGTCGAGTAAACTACTTTATATGGCTCCGTCGATGGAGCAATGTAGTCTAGATGCACCCAAAGAGCTTACTAGGAAAATGCAAGGGGAACTTTACTGTTTGATAACCTTAGACTCTCTCTAGAGTATTTCTGCAGAAGGGAGTGTTTCAAGACTGAGGATATTACAACAAGGAGAAAACCTAGCTTAGTAGTTAAAGCATAGGCCTTTCAGACAAGAGATTTACGTTCTATTTGTCACCGAATTACTGTGTAAGTTATGATAATTGTTTGACTTCTCTTTGCCTTTATCTTCAGGCAAAAATTTCAGAAGCCCTTGGCTGATTTAGAAGCCTAATTCTTACTGAATATCAGTGAGATTTAGGTTCCTAATTTACTTAGGAATTTTTGAAGATTTTACCTCCATTTGTAAAATCCCTGTTGTGATTCATAAATATTTGTGAAACGCTTTGAGATCATCAGATAAAAGTGACAGTAGCAGAATATAGTAGTATTTTGTATTACCCATCTACAGTATATGGAATCATACCTTATCAGAGTGCAACTAACTGATTAAAGGTAAAAAGATGTAAGCAAAAAAAAAAGTTTCAAGAAACTAATTTGTATCACTAATATTATTCCTTACTTAAGTGTTTTGAGAATAATATGAAAATAGAACATAAGACCTACCTGTGCAAACTGCCTGTGATGAAAGTAGATATTTGCTGCATTAAAATAGGCTAAAGCATAGCCAGGGTTGATGGAAATTGCTTGCTGATAATCTTTCATTGAACAATTTAAATGACCCATAAACTGATTAATGACACCCCGGTTTGTAAGCAGCTGAGCACTGGTAGTGAGCTGAAATGTTATAATATACACATTTTTATTTAAATGAAATCCACATTTCTACATTAATAATACAACTCTTTCTTTTAAAGGAAATATATATATAACTAGAAAGCACCACCTAATCTAACCCATTTTTCATACAAAGTTCTTTACATTGATGTGTGTTACTCAGTGGCCTAATATTGACACATACATATTAATAAATAAACTGAAAAACAACATTTACCTTTAGTGCCGCATTTATATCTTGAAATGCAGCAAAAGTATCACCCATCTGAAGACAGACCACAGCTCGTCCATCATAGGCAACATGGCATTTTGGATCAATATCAATGGCAACTGTAAACTGATTCCAAGCTTTCTGAAACTTCCCAAAGGCCTAAAATAAGTTTTAGCATACGACTATTATTAAGTATACCACATGGAGGTGGACATATTTTCAAAAATATGGAAAAACTGCACATCACATGGTCCCATGTGGTCACATTCAGTTATTTTTGTGCACAAATTACTGATTCACGGGAGCACTAACATTCTAACTTGGAAGACATGGATTTGAATTTTGACCACGTACAAATAAGTTTAGCAATCTTATCTGATTTCCTAAGAAACAGTCACACACTTTTTGGATTCATTAAGCAGAAGCAGAACTCTGTTATTGAAAGAGACTTCCTTCTATAACTGACTGGCAGAAGAGCTGCTTGTGAAGATTGGTGATAGTATTCAGCACTTAAGGCAGTACTTTATAAAGCACAGTGCAAACATTAATTAATTAGAATTAAAACATATTGGCAAAGTTGTGTGAGGAAATCTGCATGTGGCCTACCCAAGTAAGTCTGATGCAGACTGATAAAATTAGTCTTTCATTTACACAGGCATGAAATTAACTCACAACTTTGTTGAAAAGCTTTTAGACAAATAGGTATAAAACAGCACAGTAACAATGTTGTAAAATCATGGAAATTAGAGAAGAGAAAAATACCCAATATGTCATTTCATACATGACTTTGCTAATGCTGGATTGTGTATAGCTAGATGGTTTTCAGATTTCATCACATAAAAGCCCTGTTTGAAGGGCTTAATACATTTTGTTTTGATTTCATTTAACATACAAGATTTTCTTTTTACATAGATTCACCAAAAATATCTAGGTATTTTTTTATTTAGCAACCTAATGCCTAGTGAGAGTTTATTACAATAGTATACAAGGCATCTGGACATGATTACCAATACCACTCTCTCTCTCTGGGCTAACTAAGGAGATCAGGTCTCTTCATACTCAATGATCGATCCCCCAATCAAGTAAGATGCAACACAGACAAATTTCAAAGTAAATTGCCACCTAGCCTTTAATTGAAAAGAACACTGAAAGTGAGTACGGGGAAAATAGCAGAGAAACACCAAATAGGTTCTATCACAGATACAAGTTATTTTATCTGTCTGAACAATATGCTAATACTTTATGGTATTTCTTTGTGTGGAGTATGGACTAAACAATTTTATATATGAAAATAAATGCTCCTCTGTCTGTCAGAGGATATTACCTGTAAATTGTATCCTAAGCAAATTCTGGCTTTTACACATTTTGGGTTAAGATGCATTGCTTTCAGGAAGTCTTTCTGTGCTTTAGTATTGCCAGTTTCATGACCATACTCCATGTATGAATTTCCTCTTGCAACATAGGCATCCAGAAAAAAGGGATCTAATTTAAGCCCTTGGGTAAATGAATTCACAGCTTCTTCAAACTGCTCAAGTCTAAAAATAAATATACATTTAAAGGTCAGTGTTTTATTTTAAAAAATTAGTAATTTTAATTTCTAATTATAGGTGCCAGATTTACAGCTCCAGAGACTTAGGTTCTTATTTCATGTACTAAATACACAGCATTAGCAGTGTACACTTCTCCAAACTGTCCCGACAAAGTACTTTAATCTTGGTTTTCAGGGACAATGGTTAAAAAATGAGTATGATTAATTCTCCAAGCACAGTACTTTTCTTGATCATTTACCTGCCAATGAGTTTGTCTGTGAACTTGTAAACAACAATGGTGACATCCTGTCCCAATCAAGTCAATGGAAAAATCTCCAGTTGACTTCAATGGAACCAGAATTACACCCCAATGTTTGTATTCAGCAGATTCCAATGTGGCTTGTTTTGTTCGTGTTTGGATTTCCAGCCAAACTATTCACATTGCCCAATTTCCAGACCAAACACTATGATCCAGTCTGTGACAGATTTAGCTGTTTCAGATAAGGGATTTACTTTAAACATAAGCCTTCTTTCTATTTCTTTTTATTCCTCCCAGATTCATTCTCACCAATTCTTGTATTCAGCAGATTCCAATGTGGCTTGTTTTGTTCGTGTTTGGATTTCCAGCCAAACTATTCACATTGCCCAATTTCCAGACCAAACACTATGATCCAGTCTGTGACAGATTTAGCTGTTTCAGATAAGGGATTTACTTTAAACATAAGCCTTCTTTCTATTTCTTTTTATTCCTCCCAGATTCATTCTCACCAATTCCCTT